GAATTGAAAATGAAATTAAATTTACAATCAACAAAATATTCAAAACACAGTTCAAATAAAACTACATCAAGTCCTAGATTTAATGTCTAGCTCAACATGGAAAAATAGATGAAAGAAGATAAAACCCAATATCCATTGAAGAGCTTCCAAGGACCTCCAAGATGAAGGATTTCGGCCTCCTTTCGATGTTTTCCTCAGATTTCCGGGCTCCCCTTCCAAATGGCATCTCGTTCCTTTTATACTACAACATTTCAGAGCTAGGGATTCAGCCGCGCGCTGCAGTCCACGTGAAACGCGCTGTGGCACGCATTTTTGGAAGAGGGATTTTGCTCGCAGGGGGCTGAGACGCGCTGCAGCGCCTTTGGGCGAGCTGCAGTGCGTAGGACACATTCCTAGGCCCTTTTGGCGCGCTGCAGTGCCCCTTGGGCACACTGCAGCGCGTGTCCAGCCTCTGGGCATGTTTTGGGCGCGCTGCAGCCCCTCTGGTGCGCTGCAGCGCGTATTTTTGGAGCTGGGCACGTTTTAGTGCGCTGCAGCCCACTTTGGTGCACTGCAGCCTGCGCTTCCCTTGCTCTATGGGCTTCTTTGTATTCCTTTGCTCGCTGTAGCCTAAAAGGGTGCGCTGCAGCCCGCTTCCTTGCATTCCAAGCCTCCTCTTGGCATTGATTCACAAGTTGGGCAAATATTCTTCTTTTCTTCATGCAAAATCATCCAAGTTCGCATTTATTTATAATTCCTATAAAAGCAAACAAAAGACATTAAACTAACAAAAATGCTTGAAAACTTACAAATATTCAAGCTTAAAAGTACTTGATTTGTTGGTAAAAATACCCGTCATCAAATACCCCCAAACTCAACCATTTGCTTGTCCTCAAGCAAAAGAAGAGAAGGAAAAAGAAAACACAAATCAAGTACTAAGACACAAACAAAAAAATGTGAGTTTTGTATCGAGTCAACAACTGTGCATGTATCTCCAAAGCCACATAATGCTCTGAGCTCAAAAGAAATGCAAACATTGAGATTATGTAGAATTTCGACATCAAACATCAATTTCACTCCACTCAAGACTCTCAAAGTGTAAGTGTGTGCACAATCAATCTCAATCAACCAAATAAAATCCGGATAGACCTATGTGCCAAGGAGACTATGAGTGATATCTTAATAAGAACTACCATAGGCCCATTTTTCGTGTCACTCTCCACTAATAAAGGTTCACTTGTCATTGAAGATCAAAAGGACTTTTGAGGGTTGTAATGTATGGCTAGGGTAAAAGGTGGATGATATTAGAATTTTTAGGCTTAAATCACCCTAGGCATGTATCACAACTCATGGATCTCACATGATTTCCAAGAAAAGAAAAGAAAAAATTTCACCAACTCCTCTTTTCAGCATGCATTCACTTTCAATCGAACCCAAAAAGAAATAAATACCACAAAATTTTGAGAAATAAAGACCACACCCCCAAACTCAAAATCAACATTGTCCCCAATGTTGTAAAGAAATGGAAATGGTAACTCAATTCCTCATCCGATTAACTCTTACTATTTTTTTTCCTTTACTATTTTTTTTTCTTTTTTTTCATTTTTTTTTTCATTCTTTCTTCTTCTTTTTTTTTCTTTTTTTTTTTTTTTTTTTTTTTTTCTTTTTTTTTTGAAATAAGGATGAAAAACAACACAAGCCAATCCATTAATGCTTTCCCAAACATAACCCACACTTGCTATCAATCTTAGCGTTTAATGCAATCATGCCTAGTAGTGATGGGTTTAGGAAGTGAAAACGCATTTGGTGGTTTGGATGTACAAACATGGGTGATAAACGAAATAAGCAATACGGCTCAAAGGGGGTAAACAAATGATGAATTTTCTTTTCAAGGGTTAGCTTCAAAGGCCTAATCGATCTGAATAAAATGCCTTAATCTTCTCTCCAATGATACTAAACCAACAATTTCGCCTCAAGTTTCACTCAAATGGGTTCTAGTGTTCATGAGATATCAAAGTCTACCTAATGCACATAAATGTTCTCCAAATGCTCAAAAGATCAAGTGATCATGATTCATGGTGCTCAAAAGTAGAGAATCAAGAGTGAATTTCAATCAATGCGAGTCAAGCACACAAAAATCTCAATGAAATACATTTTAAAAGACCCAAGAAAGCATCAAGTGACTATACTCATCATTATTATCTAGTCATTTCATCTCAACAAAACTCACAATTTATTCAAACAACCTAAAAGAAAAATGAGTAAAAACATGGCCAAAAGAATACAACTCAATGGAGACAAGTCATAACAACCAACTCACAAGTAATGCCCAAAATCCACTAAAATCAACCACAAAGTGTCTCATCCCCAAACTCAAAATCAAACAATCATGAAAATTAATAATGAGGGAATAAGAACACGTACTGGGGAGGCGAGACAATCACACCTCCTAGTATGGTTGGCGATGATGCACCGGGCCTGATGGCATAAGCTCGGGTTGGGGCAGGGCTCTCCTCCATAAATTGCGTCTTTAGGCTCAATTATTCCTATGCCGAGCCAACTCGTCAAAGAGTGGCTTTCGCCCATAGTACGTGTCATACAACACAACGTATGGGTTTTGATTCTTTACACCCTCAAGCTTGGCGAGATTTGGCAGTTTTCGGCTCATTTGCTCAACTCGACTCGGCGCCGGCATATGCGCTTGGTTGACGTGGAAGAACGGCGCTCGAGATGGTGGGGGAGTTGCCGGCCACATTGGGTCTTCATAGATGTGATCTTTCTCAACCGGGAGTGGCACGACAATGGGGATCTCGAGGGATTGAGACTCATTGACATCTTCTTGAAATTCTTCACTAACCAATTCTTGAGTCTCCTCCTCTCTCAACGAGTCATCATCAAATAACTCCCAATCCTCCTCTTGTGTTTCTCTATTCATGGTGTTAGTCGATTCATCTGGAAGCAGCTTCAACCTAAACAACTCTGCTAGATTTGGTTTCATTTCCTCGTGAAGTTGGTCAAGCGCCTCCATCCTCTCTAACTTCTCTAGGCGGAGTCTTGTCTCCTCCGAAAATTGGGTGACAAGGTCTTCAAGGTCTAGAGAAGACTCCGCTTGGTAACGGGGGCTGTCCAGCCATGGCTCCGAAATGTTGGAGCTATCCTCAAAACCGTGGTGGTTTGTTGAATACCTCCCATACCGATAGTTAACATCGGCCATGTCTTCCAACCACCAATAAGCTTCATCCGCGGATAGTTGGTGAAAAGAGGTGGTACCATTTCCTCTTTCCACCCACATTCTTGTTG